GTGTATAAAATATCAACGGCTATTCAACTATATCATATCGACGTCGATTTAAGGTCGAAAATCGAAATTAGGTTGAAATAAGGTTGATTTTATTTTTTCAGTAAAAATGTATTACGCACATTGAAAAGTGAGGAAAAGAACCAATTTTATTTCTTTCATTACTTATATTAAGGAATACACTATTTATATATATAATGTTACCGGACATAATAGGCGCATGTTTCGCGTGCACTACTGAGTTTATATCATTATACGTATATAACATTTATTTAATTATACTTATAATCTTCGTCAGTACACATTGTAAGGAATCAAAAAGGTTTTGATATATCTATAAATCTTTTGATACAATAGATATTATTAATAAACAATATAAGGAATATAAAAAATAAAAGTTTCAAATATTGCTTCCGGTATTTTATCTAGAACGGCACCTATTAACATATAAGTTTTCATATTTTATTAAAAAAAACTATAAGTAAGAAATTAAGATATCTACAGAAAATATTTTTCTGTAGATATAAGAATTCTGTAGATGTAAGAATTATTTTCTTAGATCCTTATTCTATTATATGAATAAACCAATAAAAAATTTTGTCAAATTGTACTAAAGTAGTACTGAAAAAGTAGTACTGAAAAAGCTTCAAATGCGTAATTTTTATATATATTAATACAATATAAAAATTTCAAATAAGATCGTATTATAGTATTGATATGTTGTTTTTATTTCGAATAATTTATAATGTTATATATTTATAATGTTATAAGGTTACCTTGAACAACTTCGTACAAAGTTAGCTTCTCAAAACATTTTTAGACTAATTTGTACCACCTTTCAAAGAAAACTTAGATGCTAGTGTATTCGAAATGAGCTTCTTTAGTACTTTATATGTTGCTTCCTTAGTATTATCTTTAAGACCAATTACTTGACTCATGTAACAAATCTGCAAAATATTAATATTTAAATTAGAGGAATGAATATAAAAAATAACGTTAAAATATTAGAAGAAAAACATTTACAGTTGCTCCTGCGTTATCATCTTTTGATAAATATTTTTCGAATTTCTGTAATTCTTCCTCTGTTGTCAATGGAAGTGCTGGAAGATTTACTGGTCTTACTATTCTTTTTTCATGTGGAAGAAGGTAACGATTTAACCTGCATTGGTTCATAATAACCATATCTAATTTACTACTAATTTCTTGGTTTAGTATATACATCTTTTCACTAAAAAAAACTTTTTTTTTTAGCAAAAGATTTTGATACATCTGATGATACACTATCTGTAAAATAAATATACATATACTATAATATATATAATGTATATATTGTAAGAATTGAGTATGATAATGTAAGATTCCACTTCTGAGAATGTAAGATCTTTATATTATTGTCAGGAAAATCCTTGATAGGAGTAATAAAGGAGTATCTGTAAGGAATGCGTAATAAACAGTCACGGTATAATAAACCCGATCACTGACTTTATTAACACACCACTAAATTGATACAATATTAATGTACTTTCGCGTACTAATGACGGAGTTCTTTTGGTGATCAAATATTAGTTAAATCTATATCGAAATCTACCGAACATCTCGTGCCGTGAGACGTACTCCGAGATCCTTTATTCTCTCCTGAGATCTCTTACGCATGCGGCGTGCGCGGTGACGTCGCGTACTCCGATTCGCTCTGGAGCAACAGAGTGCTGTGATAGATGTCAGCAGTTCGTGGGGAAAAGAGACGAGTCAAAAGCTCTAGAATGTTCTGTATGATTCTGGAACTTTCTTACAATATATGTATGTATAATTGAGAAATTTATATCTCAATATTTGATTTTTAATACGCACTATGTTCATATATATATTATATTGCACGTATGTATATTATTATTTAGAAAAATATTTTTGAATGTAGTAACTTTACCTGATCTAGATGAACAAGGTATAGAGGTAAATGCTGTCACATGAACAGTAATTGGACTCATTTCACGTGATTCTGTTACAGATATGTTGCGCATTGATGATGATTCACTTATAGATGTATCATGTTCATGAATATAATTATCTTTAGAGGTACTTGGTGTGTTTATATTTATCGATCTTTTGCTTGTCTTTTCAGATGTATTATCTGATGAAACATTTTCCATATAAAGTAATATTTTTACAGGTAACACGTAATAACATAATTCAAACATAAAAGAGAGGAAATCATTAAAAATATAATGTACGACTTATTTTCTTTTAGAGGGCACACTCGACACAAACGTCGTTCTATTCTTCTTGACATTCGGGCTGTCTTTCCATATGTCCCTTTGCCAGTCAATAAAATAACATTCTCGCAAGTAAAAAAGTGACATGTGGACTTGTTGGACTTGTTGACGATTAACCTCTTTTTAATCGCCAACAAGTCCACATGTCACTTTTTTACTGGCGAGAATGTTATTTTATTGACTGGCAAAGGGACATATGAGAAGACAGCCTCGACGAATGATACAGGCTGCTTTCCTTTTAGGAGACACAGTCGACACAAACGTCGTTCTAGCCTTCTTGACATTGAATAACGAAGATAGAACGACATTTGTGTCAACTGTGTTTCCTAAAAGAAAAGCAGTCAGAAATAGAATGATGTTTGTGTCGAGTGTGTCCTCTAAAAGGAAAGCATATATACAATACTAAAAAGTAGCATATTATATACTTACCAACTATGATAAAAAGTATAAAAGAAAAGTCAAATGATTAATATGCACACACAATTCACATGCACCAACACGAGATAAACTCGATCAATCGCTACTCTCGGCAGAAACTTAACCGAAAAATGAAACTGATACAATATTTTATACCGGACCAAAGCAAAAGAACATCGAACAATCCACCCCGAACGTACAAGATTTGTCGAAATTCGTGAGTTTTATGACGTAACTTATCACGTGACTGGCTTCATGTCATGGCAGTGTAAGGGAGAGTTCACACCTTGGGGGAAAAGCAGAAAGCGGAAAAGCGAAAGCTAATCAGAACTCGCAGGAAGATAGAAGCAAACATGCGGAATGTACCGCCTATTACTACCGCGAGTTCCGATTGGCTAC